TACTAAATATTCATGAGAATGAAACTTCTCTGAAAGAAAAAGCAATATGAAAGTAACCTTCGGGTGCTCCTTTCACAAACATTTTTGCACTCGATCCCCCCGATGATGGTATGCAAAACGCGCTCATACTTTTCCGATCACGTGAAAATTCCAAAGTAAATTCTTTCCTCCATTTTTGTTGAATTACTCGGTTGCAAACACTTCCCAGATCGCGAGGTGATAAACCCGTCTTATTTGTTCCATACACATTCATTTTCTCGCATAAAACGACTAGTGCTGTTTCCGTTGCTTCACCAACTTTCTCATATACATGTTTCGTCTGAAAAGAACACATATTCTTAACATTTTCATTATTCCACTTTATTTTAAATCCCGTGAATTCATTCCATCTAATGTAGTATGTGTTTTATATTGCTGAGCATTTTCTTCACACTTTCTAAAAATACCTTGAGCAATCATCTCACTAATTAAAACAAAAATAATTATCAAATTCTGAACACTTTAGATAAAAAGCGTGGCTTAATTTTTCATATCAGAATTGCAAAAAAGAAAAAGTTGATGTCACATCATACTTCGTTATAATCAACAGCAGAATCATTGCACATTGCACAAATAGTCGCCAATTCGGTTAAAGCCTCAAATTCACCGCTTGCACAATTCACTTGCCGTCCATGATGAAATACCTGAAAACAGATTCATCTTAATATGAAAAAGTATTGTTGAAAAATAATTTCAAGATTCATTTCTATTAGAAAAATCGAATTGTAAATATGATTACCATCTCAACTCATAATCTATTCATATTGTTTCATCCCACAGAATGATTGATATTCAAAATCTTATCAGAAATTTTTAATTTCCACTGTTATTCATAAAGAACCATTTCATTGTATATAAATTTTCATCTATTCAATATATCTTATTAAACTTCTAAAAAATCACAAAATTTATGGAATATTCATGACAAAAGTTATAAACACTTTGTTAAATTACATTTACCTTTTCCTAAGTAACAATAAAATTGTTTGAACTAGGTAAACAAGAAAAAATAAAAAAGCAATTTAAATGAAACAAATTAGATCTCTACTTGTCCTGATGGTTCATAGGTTGATCCGCTAACAGTAAATTCGAGGAAATCAATATCGTCTCCAGTTACTTTGCTCGCAATAAACATCTTCGAAACGCTCATTTGATTAGTAGTAAGTGTTCCGGTTTTATCAGAGCAAATTACCGATGTGCAACCCAAAGTTTCCACTGATGGTAACGAACGTACAATAGCATTTTTCTTCGCCATCCGACGTGTACCCAAAGCTAAGCAAGTAGTGATAACAGCAGGAAGGCCTATAATATTACACATAAATAAGTAGGTATGATTCATTTAGTTTCAATATGACCACGTTTTTAATTCCTAACCTTTTTGAGTCAACTAAGTAAGAAGCATGAATCAATGTAATTAATTTCAGAGATTTGAAAAATATAAGGCTTTGATTCAGGTCCATAATAGATTTCCGAATCATTTTCTTTAAATTTTGCAAAGTGCATTAAATTGAGGAAACAAACCTTCTGGGATAGCAGCAACAGCAAGCGCAACAGCAATCTTGAAATAATAAATAGCACCCTTAATCCATGAACCGCCATGAGCAGGATCATTAAAGTGACCGATATTGATCGCCCATACAGCTACACAGATGATTGAAATAACCTAAAGGATTCTCCACTTAAAAAATCAAAACTTGAAGTACCAGGAGATCCCTTCCATAAATAAATGCTGATGAAATTCAAAAAATGAAAAGCTTCTAGATTTAACTTAAATTTCGAAAAGGTAATGATTGAAAACAAAGCAAATGATACTTTAGACAGTTGTTCACCAAATTCATCAAGCTTCTGCTGCAGTGGTGTACGATCTGTTTCAGTTTCAGCCATTTCAGTACGAATTTTACCAATTTCTGTATTTAACCCAATGCCGAAGACAACACCGCGAGCCTAAAATAGTATCGAAATCTAACATTTTTATTTAAACTTTAATTTTCCAGATTTTTCGATCTTGCAAATTTACTAATAATTACAAACATCTTACCTTCCCAGCAGCAACATTTGTTCCGGAAAAAAGACAATTTTTCTTATCCTGATTCACGGCTCTTGGATCAGGTACACTATCCGTATGCTTGATTACAGAAACTGATTCACCGGTAAGAATTGATTGGTCGATTCGTAGTGTTGTTGAATAAATTTTTATCAGACGCAAATCTGCAGGAATTTTGTCACCCACTGAAATAATAACAACACAATTTTTCGTACAGATAAACAGATTTAAAGCAACAATATATTCTGCAAGTTGCCAGAGTAGGTGAGTAAAGTATAATCAATAATTTTGTACTCGGGTTCTTATCAATTCTTCCCAATCTAATAATAATTATAATTTTCTATTATTATATCACATTTTTTGAAGATTCAATAATATCGTTAACTACCGCCAAGCGACAATAATCAACAATGATAAAAAATAATATTGTTGAGGGGGCAAAATGAAAAACATACTGGGACATGTTTTTGAAATCTAAAATATTTTCTACATCTATTTTTATCTGAAGAAAGCACACAGTATTTATGCAGAAAAGTTTCAAAAGTATTCTTTTTCTGAAAGATACCTGAAACCTCAACGATATCACCAGGTACGAGTTCATTAGCACGAATCATTTGAATGCCGTGTTTCCCTTCACGCATTACTTTTGCCATTTCTGGTTCATATTCTTTAAGAGCTTCTATAGCACTTTCGGCATTTCTTTCCTGAACGACAAATTAAACTTTAACATGAAGCACATTTTACATCTTACTGTCTCTACTTCTATATGTCCCCTATCTTCATCTTATGTTATGAAAGTAAACTGAAGAAAAATCACTTTCCTTCAACACAGTACTCCATTAGAAACAATGTTAATATCCCATTTTCCTAGTCTCTCGGATAAAAAATATCTAACTTGTCAGTTCTGACAAAAAAAGAAAATTTTCATCATGTTGTGATAAAAATTTTATTCCTTTTCTATTTGGGAGTATCCCAGAAGTTATAACTGCTTGAATTTAACAAATAGTAGAACTACGGCTGATGGTAATATACTACTCAGTCATAGTTCTGCTACTTGAAAGATATAGTTAAATTCAATTTTTTCCGTTGTTGAAATATATTAATAATCCATAAAATACAGTGTTAAAAATGATGACTTTATGGAGACTTATTAAAAAGAAAATAGTGAACTTACTTGCCAAACGCCGACTGTCGCATTTGCTATTAAGATCAGCAGAATTACAAAAGGTTCAACGAAAGCGGTGACTGCTGATGTTTGATCGTCATGCTCTTCAAATAACGCTAGTACCTTAAAAATTACAATATGAATAAAAGAACAAGAGATAAAATTCTAACATGATAACTTTTGAAAATGAAAACTACGTTAAATTTCCAAATTCCAGATGGAATAATAAAAGTGGAATTTTTAAAAAATATATATTTACAAATGAGATGATGGCAGCAAGAAGCAAAATTTTGACAAGGAGATCGTCGAACTGTTCCAATATTAATTCCCATAATTTCTTGCCTTCTTCGGCTGGCAATTCTAAAGTTTCAAAAGAGTTTATTTAATTAGCCAGAATTTAATGAATTAATCAAAATAGCCTGATGTTGTGCGGGTTACTGATTATAAGGAACATTTTTCGGAATTTATACTTTACTATCACTGAAAACTCGAAAAATTCGAAATTATTTCTTTTCGATATATAAAGTCAAAGACTAATTCAAGTGAACGTTCGAATACTACATGGCTATATGTAAAATAACTAAGATACGAAAGAAAATTCTGCCATTAACTTCGAGCATTACGCATTATATAAAATCTAAAACATGAAAAGTTCCTACTTTATGTAAAATACTTTATAGTTTGGATAGAAAGCGTATAAAAGATTAAAAAAATACATACCATTGGAACCATATTTTTCTCTGTTTTGAAGGACTTGTTTTTCGGTAAGACCAACATCACCATTAACACCAAAATATTGTAATACCTCAATGGTTGATTTCGTGTGGGCGTCCTCCATATCGATCTCCTTTTCAGTACTATTCCGCCCTGAAACAAAGATGAAATTCAAATACCATGTGGTCAAAGCATATCAATGATTATATCGATGAAAATTACGCATAAAAAATTAAACGCACAGTTATATGTACACATTACCAGCCCATTTGTTGAGACAT